GGCACAGCCATGACTCCAGAGGCAAAAGGACTTAATCCAGAGCCTGGCAGCTTGCGGCAGAAAAGTGAATGGACCATGCATTAAACTACGGCGCCATGCCTCCCCAGGAGGGAAAGGGTGTTGCTCCCTTCTGCCTTCCCTCCCTCCCCCCAACAGCAAGGTGGCTGCCACCTCAGAGCTTATAGGAAAGTCAGGTATGAGCTGGTGGTTACGGGGCAACTGCAGTCTCAATGGAAGGGGGGCGGTACCAGCTCATCCTTCACACCCTACTGAGGTCAAAAGTTGCCCCCCACGAGCGGCTCTCCAGCTCAGCCATAACATCAGACACACAGAAACCAATCTCGTAATTATCTGGCTCTTTGCAGAAATCCAAAATTGTGAGGCCGCTATTGCGACCACGTGAGATTATATGATTCTCATAACCTGCTTTAGAAAACAAAGTATTTCACAATGCCTTTTCAACAATTCTGATTGTTGGGGGGAAATTCTAAACAATAATGGTGCATATTTTGTCAAAGTAATAAATGTAATCAATGTAGAGAAGAGTCAAGTAGAAATCATCTTCCTTACAGGCATTGGGAGGGGTGGGAGGAGAGGTATATTGGGGTTCTTGGTGGTGAAAAATGAGTACTGGTGAAGGGAGGTGTTTGATCATTGTATGACAGAGACTTAAACCTGAAAGCTTAGTAACTTTTCCCACAGTGATTCAATAAATAAATATAAGAAGAACAAATAAATAAAATTATGGAAAAAAAAAGTAAGGTGGAGTTCATGCCCAATTCAATCAGCTAATCAGTGGCTGAATAAATAGCAGTACTCCTACATAAAAAAAAAAAGAAAGAAAGAAATTACTCCTGGCAGTGCTTGGAATGCCAGGGATCAAACCCGGGTTGGTCACGTGCAAGGCAACACCTTACCCCTGTACTATTGCTCTGGCCCCAGGAAAGGGCTTCTTTGCTTTGCACAAAATCTTGATATCCATGCAATGTTTGGCAGTAAAGTAGGTGAAAGCATCCAGTGGAGAAGTCATTTAAATAAGGGTGATATACAGAGATATCTGGGGAGGTGGCTCCACAGGAGAGCACAGTCCTCTTATGTTAAATCCTGGGTTCACATGTGAAGTCCCAGCAACATACATGCATGCATGTTTGCATGCACACACACACACACACACACACACACACACACACTTCATGGAGAAGCACCAATCCAGATCCAGATCCAATGTCCCTGGATCTGGTAGTTTGACGGATCAAAGATGACAGCCAGCACCTGCTGACAAGGTAACCATTTCCTTTCAGAAAACATAATAGTATAAGTTTTGTACGAAGAAGTGGGAGTGGTGGGGGGGGGGGGAATAACCTGGTAATTCTCAGATTCTTATTGGTGTGGCTGTATTTTTTGCTTTCATCAATATGTGTATTCAATTAAAATACCTCAAAAGAAAGAGAATGAAAATAAATTTCCTGGTCCTTACAGGAAAATCATAAAGAACAAAGGGCCAGAAGTGATAGGGGTTAAAGCAATAGTCCATGAGTGCTTGCCTTGCACGAGGGCCACGAGTTTCATCCTCAGCACCATATATGGTCCCCCAAAACATGCCAAGAATGATCCCTGAGTAGAGCCAGAAGTAGAGTCAGGAATAAGCCTTTTAATTTATTTTCATTTTTAGGAACATAGCCAACTGTGCTCAAACTTTTCTCCTGGCTTTGTGCTTCAAGATCACGAAACATAGGTGGTGCCAGTCATGTGAAAAGCAAGCGTCTTCCCCATTATCTGGGCCCGGCTTCAATGAATATGCTGTCTTAAACCCTCACCTGCCTCCTCCCAAGGAATAAACTACATTATTAGTACAGGGATTAAGGCCCAGCACCACATGTGATCCCCTGAACCCCCCTAGGAGTGATTCCTGAACACCTCCAGATACAACCCAACCTCCCCCTTAACCCCAACTCCTCCAGAAACCCAGGTCTTCACTGTATCCCAGGCTTTTAGAACAGCAACAGTTGTGGATCAAGACCTCTTACCTAGCTGGAGAGCTGAGAGAAACTGTCTTCAAGGAAGTAACCTAGCATGAGGACACGTTTGCCCAACTGGGTAACAAGGTGGAAAAAGAGCATTCCAGGCAGAGAGGGCTGCATGCACAAAGGCCCTTTGGCAAAAGTAAATATTGGTTTGTTTTTAAAAATGAAGAACAAACTGGGAAGATAGTACAACAGGTAAGACACTTCCATGTGACAGATCCAGGTTCCATCCCTGGCATCCCATATTGTCCCCAAGCTCCACCATGAGTAAATTACTGAGCTCAGAACCAGGAGTCAATCCTGAACACCTATGGTGTGGCCCCAAAACAAAACAAAAAAACAAACAAAAAGAGGTAAATTTCACTGGTGAGGGGGGGAGGAGAAGCAGCAAGGGGTTACTGGGACTGGAGCAGGTAGGGTACTTGCCTTGCACACAGCTGACCCAGGTTCAATCCCCAGCATCCCATACAGTGGCCTGAGCACTGCCAGGAGTGATCCCTGAGTGTACAGCCAGGAGTAACCCCTGAGCATTGGTGGGTCTGCCCCTTCACCCCAAAAAAGCCAAGAAATTGCCAAGTCTTGAGGTGGGATGATGGTGAAGAAAGTAACTGGAGATTTAAGCAGCCTTCTATCTGCCAAGAAAGGAAGCAGAAAAGCCTCCCTCCATGCAGAAAGGTTTTACCCCCTGCTTCTAGGAGCTGCCTCAAAAACTGCTGGTGACTCCCCTCTCATCAAAAAGAGCCCTCAGGATGGGTATTTGATCATTGTATAATTGAAACCCAAGCAAAAAAATGTGTAAGTCTGCAACTGTACCTCATGATGTCTCACTATTAAAAAATTTTTAAAAATAAAAATAATAAGAAGAATAATAAATCTGCAAAAAAAAAAAAAAAGAGCCCTCAACTTCACAACTGTCTGGAGGTAGTATTTGAATAAAACTTAGTAAAGTAAAGTAAAGGCCCTCCCGTTGATCATCAATTTGCTCGAGCGGGCCCAGTAACGTCTCCATTGGAGACTTTGTTGTTACTGTGTCTGGCATATCGAATACGTCACGGGGAGCTTGCTAGGCTCTGCTGTGCGGGCGAGATACTCTTGGTAGCTTGCCGGGCTCTCCAAGAGAGGCGGAGGAATCGAACTCGGGTCGGCCATGTTGGCTGCGTGCAAGGCAAACGCCCTACCGCTGTGCTATCGCTCCAGCCCCAGAGAGTATTCGATATGCCAAACACAGTAACAACAAAGTCTCCAATGGAGACGTTACTGGGCCCGCTCGAGCAAATAAAACTTAAAATATATATATATATATATTCACACAAACACTCACAACTGGAAGCAGGTGTGGTCTGGGATATATGGAGGTAGCTGTAGTGATAAACAAAGATGCAAAACAAAAAAGAAGTTTAAAAGGTGAAGATTCAGGGCGCCAGTGACAGGCCTTGATGAGACTGAGGGAAAACAGGAATATCCAGCTCACAAGCGCTGGGTGGGAGGGTGAAGGAGAGCAGCGTCCTGCAGAGACCTGGGTCAGCCACAGGAACCTGGGCAGAATATGAGGGTTAGCAGGTAGAGGTTGACCCTGAGAATATGTGTGTGACACCAAGGTTTTGTGGGAGGCTGACCCAATAAAGTATGTGTGACAGGATGTGGGGAAACAGGTATGTGACTCAGAGTATGTACATGAGGGGGTGTGTGTGATCCTGTGTGTGTGTGTGCACGCATGTGTTACCCTAAAGACATGGGGAAAAGGGTGTGTGACCAACAGTGTGTGAGACCCTGAGGGTGTGGGAGGAGAAGTGTGTGACCTGGAAGGAGTGTGACATCCTGAGGTTGTGTGACCCCCAAGGGTATGGAGCGTGCAAGCACGTGTGTGTGTATGTATGTGACCAAATTGTCTATGTGTGAACCCCCAAGGGTGTGAGGAGGAATGGGGTGCCACCCAGAGGGTGTGAGGGGGAAGGGAGGGCAGAAAACTGGTGTTTGACCCAGAGTTTATGTGTGTTTGTGTGCATGTCTCACCAGAGAGTGTGAGGAGGAATTGGTGGTGTGAAGGGGAATTGGAGGTGTAACTGGGAGTGTGAAACCCTGAGGGCCTGAGGGGGAATGCAGGATGTGAGGGGGGATGGAGGTGTGACTGGGAGTGTGAGACCCTGAGGGCTTGAGGGGGAAGAGGGTGTGTGAGGGGGAATGGAGATGTAACTGGGTGTGTGAGACCCTGAGGGCGTGAGGGGGAATGAGAGAGGTGAGGGGGAACAGAGATGTGACTGGGAGTGTGAGACCCTGAAGGTGTGAGGGGGAAGGAGGTGTGTGAGGGGGAATGGAGATGTGACTGGGGGTGTGAGACCCTGAGGGCTTGAGGGGGAATGAGAGAGGTGAGGGGGAACAGAGTGTGACTGGGAGTGTGAGACCCTGAAGGTGTGAGGGGGAATGGGAGATGTGAGGGGGAATGTAGGTGTGACTGGGAGTGTGACACCCTGAGGGTATGAGGGGGAAAGGAGTGTGTGAGGCGGGGAATGGAGATGTAACTGGGAGTGTGAGACCCTGAGGGCTTGAGGGGGAAAGGCAGATGTGAGGGGGAATGGAGGTGCGACTGGGAGCGTGAGACCCTGAGGGCGTGAAGGTGTGAGGGAGAACCGTGTGCGTGGGAGTGGGGGTGGGGGGAACCCTGTGTGACCCAGCGTGTGTTTGCTCTGGAGAGGGCAGGCGGTTGACCCCGGGAAGTGTGTGGGGGAGGAGTGTGACCCCAGGACCCTGCCTAGCGCGTGTAACTCCCCGGGGCAGAAAACACCAGGCACCCCCGTGGGCAGGGCGAGAGGAGGCGGGGGGCGCCGCCCGGAGTTCTGGGGGCGACCGTCCCGCGGCGGCGGCGGCGGCGGGCGGGACAGGAAGGGGGGCGGGCGGGGGCGGGCAGAGGGGCGGGGAGGGGCAGCCCCGGCCCCCCGGCGGCTCCACTCGCCTTTTCTCCTTCCGCACGGGCCGCGTTTCCGCTTCCCTCCCGGCGCGGGTGACTGGGAGGGAGCCGCTCGCGCCCGGGGTCTTCGTCGCCATGTGGCCCCCCGACGCGGAGGCCGAGCGCGAGGCCGAGCCGGCCGCCCGCCCCGCCGCGGGCGTCCCGGGACTGCGCGCCCTGCTGCCCGCGCGCTCCTTCCTGTGCTCGCTCAAAGGGCGCCTCCTGCTGGCGGAGTCGGTGAGTGCGCCGGCGGGCGCGGGGGAGGGGTGGAGGGTGGGCCGGGATCCCACCCGGCCGCGGCCCCGCACCGTCGGGTCTCGACTCGCGGGCGCCCCGCTCCCCGCGGGGCCAGCTGGACCGTCGCGAGCCGAGACACGACGGTCCGGGGCCCGCGTCCGCCTCCTGGGGAGGGTCGGGGAGCGGCGGCCGGCGGGGGGACCCTCGGGGCTGGGCGAGGCCCCCGGGGCTGGGCTGGGCTAGGGGCGGGGGGGGGGGGTGACTCCATCCGCCGCCTCGGGCTGCCCCGCTCAGCCCTTTGTTCTCGCGAGGCCCGGGCGGCGGGGGCGGGAGGCGTGCTTTGTGTCCTAGAGCCCGGCCCGGCCCACTCTGCAGACCAGAAAACTGAGGCTTCCTCACCAGGGGTGTTGAGAGGTGGCTGGGTTGAGGAGTCAGGCGAGAGCGGAGATGAGAATGCGGACGGAGGAGGGAGGACTGTGCCCCTTGCCCTGCCCTCTCTGAGGCGACCAGAGCCCCCAAAAGCCACTCATCCAGAGCCCAGAATTCTTACGTGGGTGCAGAACCCAGCGCTGCGCATACATACACACATCCTCCCCTCACCCCCTCTCGCTTCCTGGTTGACACCCCAGCCCGCCCCACCCTGGAGACTCTTGGGAGCAGCTGTGCCGGAGAAAGCATGAATCAATCGCAGTGTGCTGAGGGGCCCCCACCCCAGAGCTTGGAAAGCCCCAGGCCAGCAGAGAGGAGGCCGGAAGTAAGAGGCAGGGAAGGGGGCTGGGTTACTGGGGAACCCCTCCTGTCCCCCTCTGGACGCCTCCATCTGCCCCCAGGCCTCAACTGGAGGTTCGGAAAGTGGCCACCAGGAATAGGGAAATGCACACTGGGGGACCCAGAGGGAGATCCCCAAATCGGACTTTGGGAGGAGGGGGGACTGTGACACAGGAAGGGATGACTCAGGATCCTCCAGATCTTTGCAGGCTGCTACTTCCTGCATCTCCTTGGCTCAATCACAGTCACTCTGCAGCTCAGTCACTGCAGCTTCATGAAGAGCTGCAGCCAGATGCATCCGTGGGCTAGGAGTTCAAGGCATATCCGGGCAGAGGTGTGACCTGAGCTGCGCCCTCTCCTTAGTTCTGTGCCTGCTCACCCCACAACCTCCCTCCATGCAGTGGGTCCAATCAGATGTGACCAGCCGCAGCTTCTCAGCCTGCCCTGGGGGCAGTCACCATTCCGGGTGGGGTAGAAGAGTGGGTAGGGAGAGGTTCAGCACCCTCTAACAGCTGCTTCTGCCCAGCAAGTCACTGTGCTGAGGAATGTCCTTTTGGATTCTCAGAGTGCCCCAGTACCTTCTGAAGATAGCTGAAGACAGGGTGAACATACAGCATGGCCCACGGAGTCCCTATCAACACCCCCTTCTCCCGGAGGGTTTTCCTAATGTTAAAGTTGGCAAGTATATTCACCCTGGAGGTGCACGAACACCCTCATCATTGGCCTAGATGGACGGGTGTAACACACTGCTGCATTTGCTTTAGCATGCATCTCCATCCATCTTCTGATGCATTCCAAGTAAGGTGCCCACCTGAGCACATCTTGTCTGTCCATCTGTCCGTTCTTCCATGTTTTGATGTGTTCTAATTAAGTTGCCGACATGAGCACATTTCTTGTTGGGTTTGGGTTTAGGACCATACCCTGTTATGCTCGGGGACTGAGGAGGGCCCAGGTCAAACCCAGGACTCTCGCACACAAAGCAAGCACTCAGGTCCTTTGAGCCATCTCCTCAGCCCCATTTCAACTGTGAACACTGTGTCGCTGGAGTTCAGGGTGTATACCCTGCTGTTTGCAGGTACCATGGCCCCCTCACTGAACAGCACACTGATGGGGCCAGAGTGATAGTACAGCGGGTTGGGCGTTTGCCTTACATGCGGCTGACCCGAGTTCGATTCCCAGCATCCCATATGGTCCCCCCAGCACTGCCAGGAGTAATTCCTGAGTGCAAAACCAGGAGTAACCCCTGAGCATCGCTGGGTGTGATCCAAAAAGCAAAAAAAGAAAAGCACACTGACCAGCAGTACTGAGCAGGGGTGCCCAGCGAGGGACTGTGCACGGCTCACTTCTCCCCTCCTCTTCCCCAGGGTCTCTCCTTCATCACCTTTGTCTGCTATGTGGCCTCCTCGGCCTCCACCTTCCTCACAGCACCCCTGCTGGAGTTCCTGCTGGCCCTGTGCTTCCTCTTCGCTGATGCCATGCAGCTGAACGACAAGTGGCAAGGCCTCTGCTGGCCCATGATGGTGAGCCTGGGACCCAGAGGAAGGGAAACTTGTGCAGTTCGGCCCTCTCTCTCTGTATCTGTGTCTGTAGTCGGCTGAGGACCGACTTCAGCTAGTTTCAACCTCACTGACTTAGCAGCCAAGAGGTCAGAGTAAGGACCAGCACCCCCAGCTCCTTTGTCCCTCTAGGAGGCAGGGAACCCCAGGAGACATCTTCCATGGCAGCCACCAGGTGGCGCCAGTGCTCCAAGCTGGGCCCAGGGGACTGGCTCTGGGCCAGTGGAATGTAAACTGGTTCCTGCCAGGCAGGGCAGGTTAACTGAGGACTTCCCAGGCTTACCAAGCCTCTGGGCCCTGCAGCCTGCTTCTGTCACCTATGAAGATCCAGAACCTCTTCTCGAACTTTGCTGCATAAATGGGTCAGAGAAAAGGGATAGCACAGGCGACACCTGAACCCCAGTCTCATCTCCATCAAGGCTTGGGTGTGTGGGGAGATAGTCTGTTCACATTTTTAGGGACAGGAAAACAGAAAACATGACATAAGTGGATCTGGCACAGGCTTGTGGCCAGGGGAAACCCAGGGCCCACTCTCCTCTAGAGAGCAGCAAAGAAGCAGGTGACAAGGTGCTTTCTCACCGTCCCCTCCCAGTGCAAGCACTGCACCTGGCCCAGCCCCCGCTGAGCTGTGGCCTGGCCCATAGTCTGCTGTCGCTGGGCAGAGGAGATGAACCAAATGGACCAAGGATGGTCTCCTGGGAAGAGGGGCCTGGAGGAGATAACGCAGGGGTGCAGGCGGTAGCCCCTTGCCAGCGCCACCCTCTGGGAGCAGCTCACCTGCTATTGTGTCCCTGGGAGCTCAGCGTGACCTGTTCCTTCTCCCCAGGACTTCCTGCGTTGTGTCACCGCGGCCCTTATCTACTTTGCCATCTCCATCACAGCTGTCGCCAAATATTCGGATGGAGCTTCCAAAGCAGCTGGGGTGAGTAGCTGCCCAGGGATGCACCCCCCCACCCCAACTTCACCTCTCCCGAGGCCCCAAATGCCCATTGAGATATCCTCTTAGACTGGAACTGGGGTCACCTTCTGTCCCTGTCAGGACGACTGAAAGCACGAAATAGGGGCCCCTCTCAGCGACTCCTGGATCCTCTTGAGGGGCTCTTCTCTTTTTTGCCAGTAATAGGAGTACACAGTGCCTGCCTGTGAGTGCGAGACTGGGTCTGTCCTCGGTGGCTTCCTGCACCCCCAACCTCAGCACGGTGCCCCTTTGCCCTGTATCCACAGGTCTTCGGCTTCTTTGCCACCATCGTGTTCGCCTTCGATTTCTACCTGATCTTTAACGACGTGGCCAAATTCCTCAAACAGGGGGACTCTGCGGAGGAGACTACAGCCAACAAGGCAGAAGGTGGGTGGCTCCCCGCCCTCCTGGAGCAGGGAACTTCCTCACTGGGCCCAGGCACCTGGTGCTTTCACAGCCTGATCTCTCCACACCTAAAGCAAGACTCCTGGGATCCGAGCCCAGCCCACGGCAGCTGAGGGCGTGCCCCTTCGGTACATGCTGATGAGCCCACAGGCAGCCACCACCCCCTTCCATCTCCTGCTTGCTCCGTTGCTGTAGCTTTGGGTGAAGTGGGTGGAAGTGTGGCATCAGGAACCAAACTGTCATTCTCATCCGGCACCAGCAAGCCCGGGCTGGGTGTGCCTTTTATTTCTAGGCAAGCAATAGTCTCACCCTCAGCACCATGCATCTCAGCTGGGAATGACTTGAGTCCATTCACCTGATTCTAAAGAAATGGGCCCAGAGGAGGCTCAGTGGGCTAATGAGTGTGTGCCTTGCACGTGGAAGACCTGCGATTTGGTCTTCAGCACCACGTGGATCTCAGCACTGCCAAGTGTTGTCCAAAATCCCCCCCCAAAAGAGAAAGAAACAAAGCTGACAAATGGCTTTTAAATTACCCCTGGGGGGCAAAGACCACTCAGTGGCCCCTGCCCAGAGGGGCCCTCGGAACAGACCGGGTGGAAGCACAGGTGCAGAAGCGCTCTGTGGCTTTGCAGTCTCCAGCCATCCCCCCAGTCCAGTGCTGCTGATTGATGACCCCGAGCCACTTCCTACATTTGAGGAAGTGGGGTGTCGGGCTCAGCCTCAAACCCACGCAGCCTGGGCCCCTGCTTGCCCCACCTCTGATGCGCCCGTTGACCCAAGCCTGAGGCTACCCCAGGCTCCACCTGCCCTGGGGGAGCTTAGCTGAGCTCGAGATAAATGGGGAGGCCCCCAGCCACCTCCAGGGGTCGGGGTGGGGACAAGGGGAGCAGGCACCAACTCTGACTGTGCTCTGGGCATTCTGAGGTAGGGCTGCAGCCGGTGGGCGCTGCTAGGCATGGGGGAGTGCACAACAGGGTGACGGTGGAAAGCAGGCGCTGGGGGCCTGCGGGTGTCAGTGACAGGTGACTGGACAGGGCAGAAGAGCTTTCAGAGGACTTACTGGATCTGTTTGGAGCTGGGGGGACCCTGCGGGGTCCCCAGGTGGGCCGCAGACCCTGTAAAGAGCAGCTCAGCTCATCGCTTCCCCACCTCACTCTGCCGAATGTGGGGGTTGGCTGGACTGTCGGGGTGCAGGCCCAGAACACCTACCGCGTGTCTTCTCGCTTGCCTTGCAGAGGACGACTCCGACTCCAACTCTGACTCCGACTGAAGGCCTGTCCCAGACCCGGCACCTGAGCCCCGTGGACCTTCACTCCTGCCCCTTAGACCTGCAGGCCCGAGCGTGGCCAGGGACCGTGTGTGTGGGGAGGAAGCCATAGTGTGGGGGTGCTATGGGGGAGCGGGCTCCCCTCAGGCATTCCTGAGCCCCACGGCCTCTCCCTGGGCTTAGCACTCTAAACCACTCTGCGCCAGGCATCTTGAATGTTCCGCCCTCCCTACCTGGCCCACAGATGTTAGGGCCTGTGACCTCTCTGCCAGAAGCAGGCACAGGGACACAATGACTGAGCCTGCCCCCCTCCCCTTTCCGAGGAAGCACTGACACTTGGGGTCAGGGTGGAGGGCAGGCCAGGCCACCTGGTGCCGCTGCCTCTGCCCGTGCACGGTCGAGAATGAGCCTCCCAAGATCCCTTGGTTCAAGGGCAGAGCGTCCGCCTCGTTCTCAAAGCAGGTGCCCTGCCATTGGGAGAGAGTGGGTCTCGGCAAGGGACCCCCACTCACGGAAACCACATCTCCAACAGGCCTGAGTCCCAAGCTGAGTAGCTCTGAAGAGGCCCAGAGGGGGTTGGGCAGGCCCAGCCATGGCCCTCTGTTCCAGGGGCCCCCCAGCAAATAAGGGGGTCCAGGCCATCGTGCTTCCAAGATAGCAGAGCAAAGGTCCTGCGTCCCTTTGCGCGGTGCTTCTCTGAGAGCTTCTGCCCTGCTTGTGGCTTTTTTTTTATGACTCTAATTTTTTTTACTCAAAACCAGCTTTTTTTATACATGGCAATTCCTGTGAACCAAGTGAATGAGCCAGACTCCCCGACCCACATTTTGGGTCCACGTAACCTTTGTCCTTCTCCTGCATGAATCTCCTAACCTGTGAAAAAGAAGCGCTAATGAATTAAACCATACTGATCACCTGCCAGAACGCGTGTGTTTAAGCAAAGCTCCGGCCACTGGCAACAGGGTCCCCCTCAGCAGGAGCCCTCCTGAGCCCTGACCACACCAGGTTTCAGTGTTGACACCTAGCCTGCTGCAGACTAAACCTCTGACCCTTTGCAAAGCATATGCTCCAGCCGTCTCCTCTGGACCTGGGCCCCTTCCCTGCTGAGGCAGGCAGTGTCAGCGGTGGCCTTGAAGCAGCCAGAGCTTGGCAGGCTCCTGGAAGCAGTGAGGAGCAGGCTCGGGAGAAGCAGCTGGGTACGCCGGCCAACTCTCCTGGACACGTAAGAACACAAGAGGGCTGCACAGAGGGAGTTCCTGCCCCTCGGCCGCCCGGTGGCTTCCTGTGGACCTCTGAAGGAAGGTGACTTAGCCAAGAAAGTGACAAGAAGAGTACACGTGTCCGTTTATTAAACAAGAATTCCTTCATAACAATTTAATACAATATTAGCGATGAGTGTTGAGAAAATTATTTCCCTCTACATACAAAAATACAGATTTGGACACTGAAAACAATCAGGACAAGTACCATGAAAAATTGGTCCTTCAAAGAAACAGATGGAGGGCAATTTGAGGCGTCTGCTATCAGGAAAAACCAGTAGGAGCCAAGGCTCCAGGACCCCCCAAAACTATGCCAAAGGGTCAAAGTCACACGTAAGAGCCAGCCTGAGCCAGGTGGTGCTGACTCGACCCTGAACCAGGTAGGTCATCAACCTCGCCCCCGCCCCGCCACCCGGTGAGTACCAAAAAGTGATCACATGGGAGGCATTACTGACCACCCAAACTGACTTCTTCACCCATCACGAGGACAAAAGCTACAATGTTGGGGTTCAGTAGGTCCCCTCCTTCATTCTACAATGGCTCAGCTAGTCACTCCAGCATCTCCTTGGCCGGGTCCTCCAGGGGAGGGGACACAGAAGGAGCAGCTGGCGTGGTCTCTGGGTCTAGGTCCCAGGGTGTCCTCACAGTAGGGGGCTGTTTTGTTCAGGCTGAAGACCAGAAAGGGCCTCTGCAGGGTGGCCAGGAGTCACGGAGAGCTGTATAAAAGATGAGCCCCCGAGCCCAAGGGGCTCCCTTTCGGGGAGACTGGGAGCAACCTGGGGGGATCTGGAAGTCTGCGCGGCACACAGCATCCCAGGGTGCCCCTCACGAAACAGCGGGGCCCGATGCATGGGGAACCAAGAGCAAGACAGGCACAGGGCTCATCTGTTCCTCCTCAAACGTGCAGCCATCTCCTTTAGGGGAGCCATGGCACCCCAGACAGAGCAAGTGGCTCCCAAATGCCAGGCATGAAGCTACAGATCATTATTTCACAGAAATATACTCTTATCTCTCAGACTATTTAAATAAGCAGAAACGAGATGCTGGGGAGCAAACAGCAGAGAGAACAGGAATAGCCGTTGTCAGTTGACTTTTTTTTCCTTTTTCTCTCTCTCTCCAAAATTAGGTTTAAAGGAAAAATAGCCAGACCTCAAAACGAGCATTGCTGAAAGCAATAGTAAGAGAACACAAGCTAAAATCATGCTACAAAAATAGTGTTATCTGCTTCAACTAAATGTACATCTTTTTTTTTTTAATTTTTCAGTTCCATGATTAACAAGTGCTTATGTGACACACCGAAGGCACCAAGGTGAAGTAATTATTATCTGTCTTAAGAGATAGATATAAAGAATTATCTAAGTTGGGGGAGGGAAGAATACAGTCACCTATAATAAATAATGTTTTGCCATGGGTTTCTGAACCCCAGGAAATTTCAACATATACAAATAGTTTTGATCCCTCACATTCTCTTAGAGAATCAAACAAAATCAAGTTATGGAATGCAAAGCACTGGTTTTATCCACATCAGTTCATTTTATCATGAGGAAGACTTATTTTGAAGGGCTCTCAAGGGCTTTGAGAGTAGGCTGGTGGCCACTTTCTGTGAGCTGAGGCCAACCTGGGGGTCTATCCAGCACCCTGGAGCTGGTCTTTCCCCCACAGCTTATCTCCACACACCCCAGGGGAAAGGACCCGCTCTCTAGGACAGTTGCCACCAATGCAAACTCGGTGGGTTTGTGGGTAACTGGCTTCATTACTGCTGTTTTAAGAAAGCTAGAAAAGAGAGGTGAAATCCCCAAGGTTGAGAAACCGTGTCTAAACACAATAAAAATATAATCCAAACCAAAGAGAGATGTCAGGAACCACCTCTCTGCTTCAAGCCTAAGAGAATGCAAATGCTATTCACCAGGATGAACAAAACTTTCACTTTCAGGAGGTAACTCCAGGACTGGGGCTTGGTAGCATGATTTGTCTCTGTGAGACACCACCTACACTGGACAAAAAAAAAACATACTTCTAGATGGTTACTGAAGGGTTTTTTTTTTTTTCAGAGATAGTTTGGAAATGTCAAATATTTTAAATTGCCATCTCAACCACATCATTCTTAGGAGCCGTGGAGAAAAACATGATTTGTTTTGTTTGGGGGCCACATCCAGAACTCAGGGTTTTATTCCTGGCTCTGCGCGCAGAGATCACTCCTGGCAGGGTTCGGGGGGACCCGATGTGGTGCCAGGGATTGAACCTGGCTCAGTGTGTGCAAGACAAGTGCCTTCCCCCGCTGCACTGTATCACTCTAGCCCAAGAAGCACGTTTTAGAGGCAGGAAAGGGAAAGCACGAGGCGGGTGGTGGGTGGTTTGTCCATCCTAAGTGAGTCACCCATCCAGTCCCCCAGGCCACTTATCTAGAGCTGATTCTGGAACCCAAGACCTCACTTTCCCAAAGACGACCACAATGATGACAAAAAGCTCCCTTAACCAAGGATGTGCTTTCAAGACTGAGCTAGAGCTTCAGTGGCAGCCCCCAGAGCAGAGTCCCACGTGCTGGCTGGTCGCCCCCACCCACCAAGCCCCTCACCTGGCTGCTACAAAGACCTGAGGATTAGAGAAAGCTCTGGAATCTGAAAGTGTCTCAGAAGATGTCCCAGACTGAGTGGGGGACAGCGCCTGGAGCGTTTAGCAGCTTTCGGTGAAGCCTGAGGTAACAGGCAGTCTCTGGCCTTTGCCTTTTGCTGCCTGATGAATCTGATTTCCTGGGAAGCGAGCTAAGAGAGAAGGGCAGCCAGGCCTCGGCGCCGGGATTCAGTGCGGATGGCATGGCAGGTCTCGGCTGCCCAGAGTCACTCCGCCGGCCACAGTTTAGCTCCTCACACCCAGTTAAAAAGGTTCAGAGATTGAGCCAGATGTCAAAGTGTGGTCCCTCTCCAAAAGAGACCCAACCAGCACATGAGGGTCTTCAAGAAGAGGAGCTGGGGGACTGGGAACACTCACTGGGCTGAGCGCATGCTTAGCATGTAGGAGGCCTGGGTTCGAGCCCGAGCACTGCATGAACCCGAGCGCTGAACCTGCCCCCCCGCCTCTCACCCCGGCCCATTAGCACTGCCAAGAGCGAACCCTGAATATTACCCCCACCTCTTAAAAAGTGGCTCTGGGGCCACTCAGAGGACAGGACAGGTGGACGGGCTGTTTGAGGCTTGCTCACTGCATGCAGGAGCCCACACAGGTGTGCAGGCGGAGTCAGCCTCTCAGCGCAGATGGCTCAGCCAAAGTCTGAGTCACTGACAGCTTTGACGGAAGGCAGAGATGCAAACAATTCTAGGGTGGGGAATGCTATCAAGTGTTGCAGTGTCCTCTCCAGAAACAGGGAACTCAAGACACTCCATGAATACCCACTGGCCCAAACCTTCCAAGGGGACAGCCATCCCCAGGGCTGTGTGTGCATGTGTATGTGTAGGGGACAGTCAGTCAGCCCTGAGGGCTAGAGGGAGGGAGGAGGGTATGTGTGTGTGTGTGTGTGTGTTCAGTCCACTGACACAGGTGTCCAGATCAGACAGAATTCTGCATTCATTTCTGAAGGGAAGGTCGTTCCTCTCGGATGGTGCTTGCTCCTCGGAATAACAACCCATTTCCTTTACCTCGAGCCAAACAGACTTCAAGGACTGTCTTATCTGAATCTGCCTCTGTCCCTCTCCTCCTGCTATAGGTCAGCAGGCTTGCATGACTGTGCGCTGGATGATAGGGAAAAGGCAACTCCCTCTATACCTTTACCCGCATGAAGAGAAGAAAAAGAAGAACTAGGGAGGCAAACACCACATCAAACAAGTCAGTGCCAAAATCAACTCGCTGCAGAGATGTCAGTATCTGCATCCGCCTAAAACCACAAATGCTTGAGGGTTTTGCCCAGACCATCTCCAGAAACAAATTCCCATGCATGCAGCCAAGGCATTTCTCTCTCTCTGGCACAGAGAGGGGAGCCAAGCTGTGGGAGCCAAGATCGGGCCACCAGAAGAATGGAGACACACAAGGGTGCCACAGCCTTTCACCGGCCCAAACTTCTGAACTGGAATGACAAATCGCAAAAATAATTTGGCTTCCTTCAATTGGCAAAAAAAAAAAAAATTAAATCCATTTAAGCACCCCCATTCCCCCAAGCCTCAACTGTCTTGTTTGTATAGAGGCAAGAGAAGCTTTCCAATCACCCAGACGCTACTCCCTTTATTGCCTCTCCCAGGCATGCCACCATCTACAACTGGAGACAACATGGTGGCCGCATGCCACAACAGGGAAAGCCCAGATGGGCCACTTCCGGTTATGGAGGGAGCTAATTAAATAGAAATATATTTACAAAAACCATGGAAGGGTCTCACAGCACAAAGGATATTAAATAGTTACAAGGCATAAATAACTTCAAAGATTCTAAGTCTAAGATGCAGCTGACTCCTCACTCTGTGGCCTAAGATGGCAGCACTTCTTGGCCTCCCTTAGTGATTTCATTTCCATAGGCTCCGGAACTACTTCAGGCAGCCCGCAGCATGTCTGGGTGGGGGTGGGAGTAGGGTGCAGACTGAGGTGGGGCCTGCAGGTTCTTTCGAACCAGATGATAAACTGGTTTTACTGAAGAGACTAGGAAGACTCGGCAACAATCTGGCCCTAAGTGGTTTTTGGTGCTTTCTGTTTTTATTCAATCTCACTTCAAAGGAGACTTTTAATGGAGGCCAAGTAACATGATTCCCAGCAGGAGACTTCTGATCAAGTTCGGGTGGTCCTTCCAAGTGGGCCCCATTTTATGCAAGTCTGAGTCTTTGTGACCCTATGTTTGAAGAAAGCTCTTAGAGGGAGGGAACCCCAAATTTTGACTACTTATACACATGCAACAAATGCAAAATAAATAAATACACCAAATAAACATAAAATCCAGAGTCCACCTGTTCCTCAAAAATCGCTCCATATCCCCACTAAAGCCTACACTTCAGGGGCATGATTGGTCCTGCCTTACCACAGCCCTCTCGGAGGGCTGTCATACCCGCTGGGCGACAGGCCCAGGCACTGGGAGATAAGGGACCCATCGGCCCCCGCTAGCTTGCACCCTAGCCCACAGCTATTCTCAGAAGATCGGGAATTTGAATGCATGGCCCAAGGTGCTGTCCTGCAAGGAAACTGCAGCAAAACCCTGGGTTGTATCAGATGCTGGGAGCGGGGGGCTAACCTCCAAGCCCCAACCTTCAGAGGTCACAAAGATATCATTTCCTATGTAATTTCCTATGCAATTTCTGTGTCACCTGACCCACAACCCCTATCCCCAAATCAGAGACAGCTCTTTTAGGAAGAAGGGAGCGTTCACAGGCAGAGATGGACACCTCCTGGCTCCCACCCTCTAATGTTCACCCTTTCATGTTCTCTCCCTGACAGCATGCCCAGAAGCTGTTACAGGCTGAAGAACAAGCTCCAGGGGTTCTCTGGGCTCCTGCAGGCCCTGCCCACTGGCACTGCTTCTCCCTTGGTGAGGGCTCGACGCAGCGGAAGCTAAAGTGATCTGTAAACATTAACAAGTTCCAAGAGTGAAGATTGGATAAGTTCAAATAATTCTCCCTGTCAGAGATACAATTCCTCTCAAACCAAAGACAGAGAAACCCCCAAAACAACAGCATCAAAGGGGTTCGCCGGATTCATTCTCCCCAGGCATCTTCACTTCTCCAAGCATCACTGACACTTCCCCCAACAACTCCCCAGCTTGACGTCCATCGCTGTGGCCCCGAAGCGGCACTCCTGCCTTCTGAAACACGGGCGAAAGGCTGTGATGGAGCAAATTCAAGTATTTTCCATCCTAGACAAACTGACGCGGAATCACTCTCGAACGCTGCTCAGGCCTTTGACAATGAGCATGCACAGCCCTCCCAGAGGCGGGCGTCCGTGCAACCAGGGCTGGGAGCGTGAGCTGTATTTTCTTTTTCCCATGGCTTTTACCTGAGAAGGTAAAATTGCAGAAAGCCTGCAGTTCAGCCTCAGAGGATCGAGAGAGGGAAGGGAACTGGAAAACAGCATCATTCCTGGATTCCTGGGGAGAATGTGGTCATGGCTGGGGTGCTGACTCATGTGAGGAAGAATCAAGTGACTTCTCAGCAGCGGAGGAAAGGGCAGGGGGTCCCTCCCACACGTCAGCAGACTAGTGGAGCTGTCCCAAGAGGACCCCAGTTTTCCCCAGGCCCCCTGCAAAGTCTAGACCAAGCAAAGTGCTCCACCCGCGCACTCATGGCCAGACTTGTGGGCTGGCTGTCCTGACGCCCCAGACGAGAAGACAAGAAGGCGGGCAGGCCCACAGAGAGGAGGCGGCCCAGGCTGCAGAGCGAGTGCTCCACCCCGCCGCTCTGTCTCTCCCTGCAGTCCCCCCGAGAACCCACAGTCTTGAGAGGCCACACATGGATCTCAGAGGACACAGCAACTGGGAGGCCCGCTACCCTGTCGTCCCCTCACCCCCACGCCCCCAGTTACCTAGTACTGGAGAACCAGGGGCCTCCCGTACCCAGTCCTGTCTCGACAGCGGGGCAGGGGGCTTCACGGGGCTTCGCGGCCTCCCAGAGCCAGCCCCAGGGCCACTCCGAAGACCCGTTCTCCAGAAAGACTGCTCCCAAGAGGACAAAATGTAACTGAGTCACACGCAACTCCGGCAGGACGAGGGCGGGGAGACACGAGTGCGAGGAGGGCCGGGGCGAGCGTGGGAGGCGGCCCCGGCAGCGCCTCACGTGTCCAGGCGCTGGATCTCAGGCCGACCGTCCATGTCCCTGGACTCAGTGCGGGCTCGGATGTAGTCGCTGGCGCTCTGCTGCCGGAGGCTGACTCTCCATTTCTGCACCGCCAGGAAGGTGTTCACTGCATATACTGCCGTGGCCAAGAAGCCAAAAATCTAGGAGAAACGGGCCTGGTTAGATCTTGGTGGCAACTGCCCTGCCATGAGATCGCTAGGACTGTGGTGCGTGGCCTCTTCTGTTGGCCTCATGCTCCAACCAGGGTCACGGTCCTGCACTACCTGAAGCCTGCTAGAGCTTTCTTCGGGAGGATTTTGGGGCAGGGATGAGAGGTGGTTGGGAAAATTTTTCCCTACAATTTTGCATCCTCCGTCCTAAGACCAAAGTGATATGTGTTCTTTGGAAAACTGGAATGCTACGAAAATTCAGGGCCCAGAGGAGTCTTTATTTGGCTTTCCCACACTCTGCCAGCCCCAACTTCCAGATAGGGCACTATCCTGAAGAGTAAAAAAAAATGTTAAAAGTCGAGGCTGCGTTCTTCATCCAGCCCCATACTCCCGGCTCTGAGCTCAGGAATCACTCCTGGCAGAGCTTGCGAACCAGATGCAGCGTCTGGGACTGAACCAGAGTCGGCTGCATGCAAGGCACTATCTCTCTGCCCTGAAAGCAGATTTTTTTCCCCCCAGCAGAGCTGGGCATCGAACCCAGAGCCTCACATACGAAAGGTTCAATGCTCTGCTGCTGAGCAATATCCCCAGCCCCAGAACAGATTTCTGATGTGGTGTTTTGAGGACACTTGAGAAAGGCCTGTTGAACAACTTCCTGGTTGACACTGAGGCTGCTGTTTCAGGGATCACACTTTGAAAACCTCACCACATATAGGGAACCTCGCCCTCTCCCACCCACCTCCTCCTCTGCCCTAAAGAGAAAAAGGAACTTGGGGACTCATGCTAGGGGGCAGAGTGGGCAGGACACCCGCGCATCAGCCTGCCGGCAATCAGCCGAGCTTGCTTACCACGGCAGCAATTTCTGCTCCAGTTTTGTGGTTTAAAGCAGCCAGGACTATTGAAGCAATAAAGAAAAAGAAAGTGCTCAGTCCAGTGTTGACCAAATCCTAAAAAAAAAGAAAAGCAAGTCACTGGAAAAGCAATGAAAGAACTTCAGACATCAGCAGCTCGATGCCCCGCCTCCAAAGGCTGCCGATTTGACCTGCAACACCTTGGAAGCTCTGGGTCACTCCAAAGGCAGCGAAGGTCCCTTTACCCGAGAAGCCACCACAGAAAAACTCACATTTTCACCAGCCACACTGCCGTGGGTTTTTTTTTTTTTTTTTTTGTGGGGAAGGAGAGCTCCCTAGCAGTGCACAGGGGGCCACGCAGGGGCCACTCCTAGCAATGCTCAGTCAAACCAGCTGGAAGGCTTGGGGCAGTGGCCTGAGACTACATGCTCAGGCCCGCCCAGTGCAGCTGAGGCCACCAGGAGCCGGTCCTTGCACGAAATGTGCACCGCTGGCTCCTGAGCTGCTATTCCCTGACCTCACTCACATGATGGTTTTCTAAAAATTTTGGTGAGGGGTGGAGGGGTTTAAGTTACAGCTGGTGGTGCTTGGGGGGTCACTCCTGCCGGAGCTCAGAGACCCTCGCACTCAGGCTCAAACCCAGGCCTCTCACATGCAAAGCTCGTGCTCATCCTTTTGAGCTCCTTCTCTAGCGCACATTATTCTTAATGACTTATTATTAGAAACCACAACTGCAAACCCACTAAGGACATGCATACTAACTACTGCCTATAGCGAGCCCACTCCCATTTTTACTGAGATACCTGATTTAAAATGCTCTTAATGAGAGTTTTGTGTATATACCATTCCAATATCACATCCACCACAATTATTTTTGTCACTGGAGTTTCTTTGGTTTTTGTTTCGTTTTGTTTTTTAAGAAAACACATCCAAATCATTCTGGCTTAGCCTGAAATCCCCTCCAAGGTCTGGATGTACCGGTCAAATCTTCTCCAACACCCCCTCTTTCATTTCTGACATTCCCAGCACTAGCCTTCAGCCCTGAGAGCACGAGGAGCCAGACCTCAAATTCTTTCTGACAGTCTTTCAAGCCTCGGTCCTAAAGCCTAGAGGATTTCCTCCTAAGCTGCTTGCAAAGCAAATTAGGTTACAGATCCAATCTTCAGAGTTTTAACTCCTGTCTCACCTGTCAACTGAGTAGAGAGCAGTGACTGAGAGCCATGGCCAGTGCAGGCCACTAACCTCCCATGGCTTTGCTGTATCTGACATGAACACAGCATCCCCTCCTGCCGGGGTGGTTTAAAGGAGTAAGTGAAACAACACAAGCATCACGCCCAGTGCCAGTAAGGGCTCACTCTCCATAGTGCTTTTGCATCAGCACCCCAGACACTCGTGGTCATACCCAAGTGCCTCTCCAGCCTCTCTGAGAAGAAAATCTAGGACTCGCTGGATAGATAGCATAGTGGGTAGGGCCTGCCTGCACACAGCTGACCCAGCTTCAACCCCTGCTACCACATATGATCCTTCAAACATCACCAGGAGTGATCCATGAGTGCAGAGCCAGGAGTGAGCCCTCAACACTTTCAGGTGTGGCCCCAAAACCACATATACAAAAATCTAGGACCTATCACCACCAAAAGGATTCCCAGTGGGGCACCTGTCTTACACGCAGCCGACCCAGGTTTGATTCCTGCACCCCATATGGTCCCCCATTGCAACAAGGGATGATTCCTGAGTGCAGAGCCTAGAGTAAGCCCTGAGTACAGCCAGGTTTGGCCCCAAAACCAAAAAACTAAAATAAAATTGCTTTTGTTTTCAATTTGACTTATTCATTGGATGCGGTGGCAGGGGTTGAAGCCAGGGCTTCATACATGCAAAGCAAATGCTCTCTCGCCAGGTGACACGCAGGCCAGCAGCTCTTCTTTATAAAGATGCAGTGACTTAGTACCAAGCATGTGCCAGGGACCCCCCAATACACAGCCCTGTCAGTGCTCTCACACTGGCTCCAGGAAAGCAGCAAAGCAGTGATTTCAAGAAACCTATTTTTTGAAGTGTCTGCCAACATGACAGTTTCCAGCTGTGCTTGTGAGCATCAGGGCCAATGGGCCACAGATTCACGCCAAAAAGGTCCGGCTGCCCTTGGCTCCAGCAAAGGTGTTGTAGGGGTGAAAAAAAACATAAAACATACTTTGCAAACCAAAGACACTCCGAAATGGGGAAAATATCTTGGGGCACAAAACTATGTTTAAACATCAAACACAGTAATGTGTACATTAATGGCAGCTGTTTAAAAACAGAACTGTGATCAAGGGTCCAGGAGCAAAGGTTTTGAAGAGGCCCATGTTATTTTGCCTGTGAATTTCACATTTGGAAACTCATCTTCATTGTCACATTAGTACAGTTAGTCCAAGTATTAGTTAAAATGGCATTATTTTAAATAGCAAGGTAAAGGAAGCAAATAACATGTTTAATGCCAAGGGCTGCTAAATAAAATGACATTTACAGAATGAAACACTAGGCAGTCATTAAAAATGATGACAGAGTCAGAAAGATGGCTCAGTCAGCTGAGAGCATGCTTTGCAGGTGTGAGGCCTGAGTCTGATTCCCTGCACCATTTAATCCTCCAAGAGCCAACAGTAGCATTCCCTGTTCCCAGTCCCCAGCACAGAGCTGGTCTGGCTGAAAAAACAGACAAAACATTTTCAATTAGTTTTATATAGCTGTACATTTCATATACATGGTATTTATAAGTTTAAATGAAAAAAATCATGACTTTAATAATTGCAGTGTTTTCATGCATTATGTGAAATTTAATCTAGTGAAAGCCATCTAGAAGATTCGATCCATGTACTACTAGTGGTTATTGCTGGACAGTTTGCATCACACATAACTTTTAACAAGCAGCTTCACTACTATAAAGCCCTTATATCACAGACATTTGGGTTGGGCCACACTTGGTGGTGCTCAGGTCTTACTCCTGGCTCTATGCCCAGAGATTACTCCTGGCAGTGCTAGGGGACCATATGCGGTGCAGGGGATTGACCTGGGGTTAGCTGCATGCAAGACAAGCATCTGTACTATCTCTCCACCACCCTCCTATATCATGTAACATACCCAACAAAAGGTACAAGTCAATCACCATAATTTAAGCTTAGAACATTTTTCAGTCCTCCACAAAAGAAAATCTTGGGATCAGAGCTATATAGTACAGTGGGGAGGGCATGCCATGCATGAAGCCGGCAAGAAGCGCTGTTTCCAACAGGGCAGCTCTGAGGTGAGCACGCACACACAGAGTGCAGGAATTGATCTTGGGTCACCTGTGTAAGACAGGTGCCCCACCAGGGGTCCTCCTGGTGCTGATAGGTCCTAGATTTTTGTAAGTGTAGTTTTGGGGCCACACCTGGAAGTGTTGAGGGCTTCCAAGTACTCCCTGTCAGGACAGAAAAATAGGATTCAGCACTGCCCCCCCACCTCTGAAGTAGGCTATTTTCTTTTTTGTGGGGGTTGCCTTAGGGGGGGCCACACCTGGCAATGTTCAGGGTTTACTCCTGGCTCTGCACTCAGGAATCACTTTTTTTTTTTTTAAATAGACCACCATGAGAGGGGCTAGAGCGATAATACAGCAGGTAGGGTGTTTGTATGCGGCTGACCCAGGTTCGATTCCCAGCATCCCATATGGTCCCCCAAGCACCGCCAGGACTATTTCCTTAGTGCAAAGCCAGGAATAATCCCTGAGCATCACCGGGTGTGATCCATCCCAAAAGTCAAAAAATAAATAAATAAACCACCATGAGATACACTCAGAAATCACTCCTGGCAGGATCGAATCCAGGTCGGCCACGTGCAAGGCAATGCCCTTGCCACAGTATTATCACTTCGGCCCCATTAAGTCCATCTTCTTTATGTCATGAAGCTGAAAGCTCATCCCTGAAGGGCACACAAGGTCTCTACTGGCCCCCTGGATGATTCCAGCATTCCAGGGGGCAATATACCCACAAGGGGACACTGCTAATCTGTAAGTTGACCAGGTCTAGAAATGGCATAACGTAATAAGAGGCAGAACATACATGGAATTCCAAAGAAAGGGAAAGTTTTTGGGGTGGTGATTTATTAGGTCTACGTACCACCCAGATTCTGACCACATTTAGTGGTCCTCCTGGATTACCCTGGCCACTGTAAACCACCTTGGAACAAGTGGGTGAGGTTCTCACATGCAAAGGAACTACAAGTGTAGAATAAGGCCGGAGGTCGTCCATCGGTCACTTGGTCCCTCCACCTCAACTTTTCTTGGCTCCAGTTGGTCTTAGGTTCCAACTGGCCTGCAGCCTGACATACTGCGTCTGGCATCTGAAGCACATTAACTCCATTGGCAAAAACGTATAAGGCTTCCAGGCCCTGAGTGTGCTTGCAAGAAAAACCTGATCAAAGACGGAAAGGGTCGGCTCCTCTCTGGAAAGAAAGATGGCGGCCGCACGGGAGCCTTGTGGACAGCAGGTTTGAGCCGGGGGCGGGGGGCAGCAGGGACCTCATGGGAAGGGGGGCGTTCTGGGCCGTCCTTCACGCCCGACCGAGGTCACCAGCTGCCCCCCACGAGCGGCTCTCCAGCACGGCCACGACTCCAGAGCACAGAAACCAATCTCTTAACTAACTAACTTTTAATAGAAATACTTCCAGGGTTAATAAGTGAAACAGCAGAAATCCAAAACCGCGCGGCCGCAATAGCGGCCATGCGACATCATTTTATTCTTAAACCAAGCTGTAGAAAGCAAATCATTTCACAACACTGTTTCAGCATATCTGATGGGGGGGGGGGAGTCGTAAACTCTAAACAATAATTGTGCATCTTCTATCGAAACAATGTATCTAGTCAAAGTAGATAGAGTATTAACTAGAACTCATCTGCCTCACAGGAATTGGGAGGGGTGAGAGGTGGGGTTCTATTGGGGTTCACGGTTAAAAATAAGTATTGGTAAAGGGAAATGTGTTTGATACTTACATGACTGAGACCTAAACCCGAAAGCTCTGTAACTTTTCCCACAGTGATTCAATAAAGAAATAATTAAAAAAAAAAAAAAGACAAAGACGGAAAGGGTCGAGGTGGCTGGCACTGCTGAAGGACAGGTGCGATAATCCCTGTCTTGGTATAAGCACACGGGTGTTTGCTTCATCGGCGTAAGGACACTCCGTCAGGCACACACGTGGGGAGTTCCCTTTCTAGGAGAGCTAAGGGGATCTGATTCCTCCCCCGTGTCAGTCAGGGCACAGCATGTTTGTCCTGGCCATCCTCCTGTCTCCCTATGAATAGAGCTGGACAATATGTGTCCTTTGGGACTGGCTCCTGTCACTTAGCCATGAGCTATGTCTATTCATGTCCCAGCAAAGCACCAAGATGTCCTTTTCACGACCACGGATATGTCCCTGTACAGAGGCACCGTTTACTCCATCCCTTCATCCTGAGGTGTTTTTCACCAGGGGTGATAATGAAGCACTCAGCTATGCACCGACAGGCTTTTCTAGAGATTTGTTTCCCCTGGGTTGGCACATGATCTCTTTGTTCAGTCCCTTCCTCCCTACCTCCTTCTCATTCTCTTGGCTCTAACCTCAGGAATCACTCCCAGTGGGGCTCAGGGGACCTAATGTGCTACCAGAGATCAAACTAGTGTTTAAGGCAAGCACCTTACCCTGGCCTAGCTCTCCAGGTCCTTCTAGTTTTTCTAACAACAAGGATTAAAACAGGAATACTGTAAAATTTAGTCAGCATCATCTACTTGAGTTCCTTGGCCAGGAAACAAAATCAAGGCTTGTAAATCCAGCCTTCATGTTAGGAACATACATGGCATGTCTTCAGATAAGAATCTGGGGGGTGGGAGTCGGGGACCAGGTCAACAGATACTTAATTTTTTTTGTAATTCATTTATTGGGACATGGATGCTATTGGCCACTGGCTTTCCAATTTGCCAGCCATCCCACCACTGCATCTCTTCCCCAAATACTTATGCTTCCTGTCTGGCCCCTAAAATGCCCAAGCTGCCACTCCTTATACCAGGAGATGAAGAGGAAGGTCAAGGATAGGAGCTAAGCCATCACCCCCCACGTATCCATGCTCTCTGGTTTCCACGGGTCTAAGTGCATGCAATGCTAGCAGAGCAGGATCTGGCTCGGAGGGCGCTAAGTCAAGGCTTACGAGCTTTGTTTGGCCCAGAGCTAGGTTTGTCTTGCATAGTGTTTAAAACAAATTTGAACAAGCTAACATTTGAACACAGGAATGCACGTAAAAAAAAACTCACTTCTCAAAAACAACAAAGGGCCAGAAAGATAGTAAAGGGGTAAAGGTCCTGCATGCCATGCACACACGTGACCCTGGTTTGAATCCCCTGCACTGTATGTGGTCCCCTAAGCAGCCGTGGGAGTGATCCTTGAACACAGAGCCAGTGACAAGACGACAGCCAGGAATGAGCCCAGCGTGTTAGCCTTTGTACTCTCTCTTGGTCCATCTGGCATTTTCCCTAAATCTTCCCTGACCTACTCTTGACCTCCCACCCCGAGGTACCCACAGCTGCCTTCCTTGCCTGTGCTCTTCCCAGGCCTCACCCCAAACTGGATCCTGTGGAATGCATGGCTCCGAGAAGGCCTGGTCCCTATATTCTATCCCCAAGCCGAGCACAAAGTGGGGCCAGCAGATCAGAGAGGAGACATGGGTGAAGAGGGGCAGCAGCAGCTGATAGTCACACAACTGCTCCACAATCAGAAGGGGCTGGGGGCGGGCTAGTCCCCGCTCTGTGCCTGCATGAAGAAGGGCCACTCAGTGGAGCAGCTGAAGATCAAACTGAGATCAGCCACATGCAGGGCAAATGCATGATCCCTGTACTGTCTCTCCAGTTGCATCATCACATTAGATTAACAATTCTGTCAACATTCCCTCATGGACAACACCCAGTTTATCTTAGAAGTAACCAAGGCCAGAGAGACACATCACTCAATCGGCCGGGGCACAGGCTTTGCATGCAGGAGGCCCACGTTTTGCATGCCTGGTGTCACATGGATCCCAGAGAACCGCCAGGAGCAACCTCCAAGCACTGAGCGGAGAGTAGCCCCTGAGCGCCGCAGGGTGAGGTCCCCAACAAAAACCCAATAAATAAATAAATCACTGGAACACTAAACTGCCTAAGTTCTATCCCCAGAACTTGGACAAAATGCCTCTGGTGTCCTGAGATGTTAGAACATAGATTTAAATGCCCATCATGCTGTTCTCAGTACAAAGTGCTTTCGAGGGCCACCGAAACCACTCGCAACTCCCCTTCTAGTTTTCCTCCAGGGAGTTGGGGCCCACTGCAGCTTGTCAGAAAGACCCCACCCCAAGGAGCTCCACTGGAATGGTCCAGCCAGGCAAGATGACTGCCTCTGGCCAAGTCCCTGGCTCCTGAGAGCGGGCATACGGGTGACACCAGCCAAGGAGATTGGAGCTCGTGGGAGGGGGGTGGGGGGGCGCTCAGCGCCTGCTCAACAGCTGTGATGCCATGGGGTTCTCCTCCCACAGGCACAGAAGGCGCAGAAGGTACAGGCAGCCCAGCCTGCCTTTCTGCCTGCTGGTTTCCTCTGAGCTCCTCCTACTTGTGCTTATTCACAAAGAAATTAAAAAAAAAATCACTATTAAGTTCCCTTTCTTGTTCAGCATAGTGAGTGCAGTAACACAAGCCCAGGACAATAGACCGGTGAGCAGCGAGCCTGAAACACAGTTTGGACTCAGACAGTGGAGAGAAGAGGACCCCATCCCACTCAAGATGCTCTGGTGGGGGTCAGAGATAGTCCAAGGGGGTGAGGCATTGCCTTTCGTGCAGCTGATCCGGGCTGGAATTCCAGCACCACAAGTGGCCCCCTGAGCAGAACCAGATGTAGCCCATAAGCATCACTGGGGAGTGGTCCCCAAAACACAACAACAAGGACTGATAGCCCACAAAAATCTCCATGAGGTTTCCTGATTGCTACAAGGTTCATAAAATTCCTAGGATGTGTAAATTCTCTGTTCTCATTCATTCCTTTTCTTTTTGTTTTTGAGCCACACCAAGTGGTATTCAGGGATCACTCCTGGTGGGCTGGGGGACCCATATGTGGTATTGACGGTAGAACCTGGGTCAGATGTATGTAAGGCAAGCACCTGACCCGCTGTACTCTCTCTGGCCCTCATATTTTCGATTCTTTCAGAATCAGTAGTTTTGAGTCCAATACGAAAACAATATGCCAACAGACCCATTCTGTTTTCAGAGGATCATGAGAGTAAAATAACATCACTGAAAGGGTCAAAATAATTCTGCTACCATGAAGGAAAATAAAATTCACTTTTAGTCGGCCCAGTAAATAAATTAAAATTTTCACAGTTCACTCTGATGGTGGTGACCGTGTAGTAACCTTGTACAACAAAGCTGTAAAAACAACCACTACTATAACCATGTTACCTAAAATACAGTAAAAAATAAAATTTCAAGTTTTGCAACTGGGGGCCAGAGATAACACAAGTATGGGTAGGGTGCTTGCCTTGCATGTAGCCAACCTGGGTTTGACTGTTGGTATCCCATGTGGTCCCGGAAGCCCCACCAGGAGTGACCGCTAAGCACAGACCCAGGAGTAAGCCCTGAGCACAGCCAAGTGACTCAACAAAAAAACAGAAAAGTCCACAGTTGAATTACAAGTAAAAAGTGAAGAGAGGTCCTGAAAGAGAGCTCGAGGATCCTTTCTTTGCATGCTGCAAGGCTTGATCCCCAGCACCGCCTGGTCCTTGGAGCGACTCCTGAACACAGCCAAGAGGAGCGTCCTGAGCACCAGCAGGGGTGCTCCCTCCCACCCCAGCCAGGCAACAGCAACAGTGCATGAATGGCTGGCCACTATGCATGAGGTGAGGGATCCGGCTTTCCCTGGCCGCCAAGATGCTCTCACTCTGCAGAGGCAGCTGCTGGCCCGTACTCACAGTCAGGTTCCAGTTGATCTGCGGGATCCTCATGTGCAGGTTGAGACTAAACAGGATCAGCAGGACGCCCGTCACCACGAACGCACTGCAGCTCACAAACTCAAAGAAGTAGAGGCCTTCACACGGGGAGCACTCCAGGATGGTCTCGATGCAGATGAATGCAGTCAGGGCTAGAACCTGGGAGGGAGGGAAGCACAGTGGGCACGTGTCGGCTTAGACACACCTGCCACCCAGTGCTGCTGCATTGACACTCTGGCCCCACGACACTGCTGTCCCCAAAATGATCTGGGAAGGGAGATGGCTACAGAAGCTGAGCACACTTGTCTAGCACAAGCAAGGCCCTTCACACTCCATGCCCCCTCCCTCCCCAGGATGCCAGGGGGTGGCCCCGGGCATCCCAGCATCAGTGAGTGTGGCCCTTACTAGAAATACATAAAAGATCTGGGGCTAGACCCCAGTTTGATCCCCAGCAGCACACATCAGGTCTCTTCTGGCACCGCCAGGTGTCACCCCTGAGCACAGAGCCAAGAGTAAACCCTTAGCACCACCAGCCTCTTCCCCCAAAAATGACCCAGGGTTGGAGAAACAGTTCAGTGAACTGAGCACATACAGGAGACCCAGGTTCAATGTCGATACTACATGGTCCTCCAAGCACCGCCAGGAGCAGCCCCCAAGCACTGAGCTGGTAGCAGACCCCAAGCTTGACAGGTGTGAGGCGGGCAGGGGAGAGGCTGGGCAGGCTGACTCAATTCTTAGCAAAGAGCAGCTTCGGGGGTCTTAATGAAAGAAGGATCTGAGTCCTAATGTGAAGAGCTGAGTCCCGGGCAGAGGAGCAGGACCAGTCTCAGCCGTGTCTAGCCTGTCCTCTGCCACTAGAGTGGACGCCACTGATACACTCCTTTGAAGCCATTTGCTCCAGAGCGGGAAGGTCGTGTCCTAGTGGTGTCCCACCCAAAGCCATCAGGACTGACTCTGTGGTCCAGGTGCTACTGGGACTGTACTCTCTCCACCCCCTGGGCAGGTGGTCCTGGGCTCCCTTCTCCTCTCTCCCGCAAACAAGAGTATGGAGAGACGGCACATCTGCCAGTCAGGCCGTGCCAGGGCCACCTCCTCCTGTCAGTCTGTCCCATGAACGGAAGGGGCTCTGCTTGCCACGGGGCTGATACTCGGCTGATCCACACCCTCCAAAACAATGCTCAGCTCTTCACATTCCTCCTGGAAGGCAGCACACGGTCCACAGCCCTCTCGGCTCACACATCAGCATCTCCTAATGCACTCCTTCCCACCCTGTAGAAACTAACTCCCCATCTGAATTACACGCCTGACTCGCAACCAATTCACAAAGAAATAGTTCATAGGAGGGAAACTCCAAAACTTTTTTTTTTAAACGCCTGTAATTGGATCTATTAATCTCAGGGCAAAATGTAAAATAACACGCTGCTTGATGAGTTACAAATGTTTCTGGTATGCCAACTTCATCTGGATTGGTGTGGGAAGGTTAACTAACACCTACAGGCTTCACATCACAAAGAAAATGGCTTCAGGAAGGTGAAACCAGGCAGTGAACAGAGAACATTCAAATGCCCAGCTCTCGCGCTCACTGTCTAATGGTCTGAACATAGAGCGTGTATTACCAAATACAGTGTGCTGGGCGGTGAAAAGAACAAAGGAGAGAAATTAAGACGGGATGGAGAGAGGAAGAACAGAGTGGGCTGATGTACTCTGGGTCTGAAAAGGCCCCCTTGATGAACAGAATTTGGGGGGCGGGGGGCGGACCACAGCAGGATGTGGCCTTGGCTGCGTCCTAAAGAGAGATGGCCAGGAGAAATGCCCAGCAGTCAGTGACGGGGCCTCAGGGGGCTAGAGGACAGAGCCCTTCCCAGTCCCCTTCCACTGCCAACTGACCAGGACTGGGATGAAGAGGCTGACAGGTTCCCACCAGGGTGGCTAATTATGACTGAATCTCAAAACGCAGCAAGTGCGGGGGAAGGACTGGCCGGTCATGTCCTGCCCCCATACAACCTGAAGGGCTGTTCCCAGAGCCACAGAGGGCGAGGCACGGTGACGGCCATGGACCTTCCTGGACAGTATGGGGACCGAGGGGGGACCGCAGGGGCCTCTGGCTCTCCCTCCAGGCACACAGGAAGGCTGGAGACCGGGGCTGAGAGAGTTCCCTGAGGCACGGTACTTATTACAAAATCTGAACATTCCCAACCCCTCACGAGCACCAGCAACCCTGGAAAGGAACTCTATGCTCACGGGGGGGGGGGGGGGGGGGGGGGGGGGTTTCCCTCTGAAAAATCTACACGAGCAACTGCAATCAGTGAAGGCTGTGCTCTTTTGCCGCCCTGATTCAGAGTGGCCCAGCTGGTGACGGAACTGCAGTGGGCATTTGGGGGATCTGGCTAACTGAAGGATGAAAGAGACATTCATTAACTGATGGGATAGGGGTTCAGATGCATGCCCTGAATGACCCTGCTCCCATCCAGCGTGGCTGCTGTGACCCTGAAGGTTTCCAAGCCACAGTGACCCTGGTGGTCCGCAGAACCACAGGCTCCACAGCCTCGCCCACAGGCACTGAGTCAGTTGTTCTGGGTGACTGAAAGTCACCAGGAGAGGTCCCCAGGTCCACTGAGCACTGCTTGGGAGACAACCCCACAAAAAATTTTATTTGGGGCATAGCCTTTACTTCCACACAGCTAAGTTATTACAGCTTCCCCGCTGGGAGAACCATTCCAGCGCCCAGGGACCACTTTAGTTCATAATTTTGTATATTTATCAATACTATGCTATTGAATTCTGCATTTTTAATGAAGAATCTTTTCCTTAAAACTGAACTTCCAGGGGCTGGAGCAATAGCACAGCAGGTAGGGTGTTTGCCTTGCACGCGGCCAACCCAGGTTCGATTCCCAGCATCCCATATGGTCCCCCAAGCACCGCCAGGAGTAATTCCTGAGTGCATGAGCCATGAGTTAACCCCTGTGCATCGCTGGGTGTGACCCAAAAAGAAAAAAAAAAAACCTGAACTTCCAGGGGCTGGAATGATAGTACAGCAGGTAGAGTGTTTGGCTTGCACACGGTCAACTCAGATTTGATCCCTGGCATCCATATGGTCCCCTAAGCTCCGCCAGGAGTGATTCCTGAGTGCAGAGCCAGGAGTAAGCACATTACCGGATGTGGCCCAAAAAACAAAACAAGAAAAAAAAAGTGGATGCCCAAACTGTACGTCTCAATTCTTTCAAAACCTGGCTCTATGTCTGGGTCTGGGCAATGGACACAGCATCTGTGACTCTGGCAACTGGCCACCACTGGGCCCCAGAAACAACTGTGCCGGGTGCCCTTTCCTACCACAGCAGCCAGCCACACTCCAGGCACCTTTAAGACTTAGGGTCAGCCAACTCCCCACAGCCCTGCAGGCATGTATGACATGGGCGAAAAGTAAATCTTCCTCATGGGAGCCACTAAAAATCAGAGTCTGTTTATGACCACAGCTCGTTCCAGTACAAGCCTGCCAAAAGGGTGCTTTGTACATCTGCATGTGCCCTGTGTCCCATAAGAAACCGCTGCCTGACTTGCTCTGAGACACAAGGGACCCTAATGGTTTCATACAAACTCACACCAGCTGGTCAAGGTAAAAAAAAAAAATGCTATTAAACTCTTTAAAACAAAGCAGCACATTAAATAGCTATAATTCTGTCCCTGAGAACTAATGTAACCCTGATTTAACAAAATATGGTGAAGACCAGAGCAGATCCAACAGGACTTGTGAACAGACTTACAAATTACAAATCAGAGTGAATGTATTCCAGGAATGATGAAAGGAAGGGCCCAGCAGCAAAAGAAAGAAAGGAGAGAGAAGGAAGGAAGGAAGGAAGGAAGGAAGGAAGGAAGGAAGGAAGGAAGGAAGGAAGGGAGAAGGAAGGAAAGAAAGAAAGGAAGAAAGGGAGGGAGGGAGGGAGGGAGGGAGGGAGGGAGGGAGGGAGGGAAGGAGGGAGGGAGGGAGGGAGGGAGGGGAAAGAAGGAAAGGAAAGGAAAGGAAAAAATAAAAAATAAAAAATTGGGAGTGGGGGGAACAGAGGAGGGAGCAACTGGAGAGAGGGTGGTCAGGTTCTGCTTCAGTGCCCAAGGATCACTCCTGCACGTCTCGGGGGACCAGACACAGGGGCTGAAACAGGGCTGGCTGCATATACGGCAAGCATCCTGGAGCCGGAACCATAGAATAGCAGGCAGGGGCCTTGCCTTGTGCACAGCTGACCCGGGTTTGAGCTCCAGCATCCTGTATGCCCCCCACACACACACCCCTTGAGTGGGCAGGAGGAATTCCTAAGTGCAGAGCCAGGAATAGCCCTGTGCAACACAAACGCAAAACAAAAATGTAAGCGCCCTACCCACTTGACTATCTTTTTTGGTCCAGCAGCCGCTCAATTATTAACTGTCTTCTTTCCCTTAATATGTCAAAGACCCATAGATACCATCATAATAGAGTAAAAAAAGAAAGATATAAAATTAAACATCTATTTTTGACTTTTAAAAAATCCTAGGAACCCAAATACTGCCACTTGGTGACTCCCAAGTACCACTGGAGTGGCCCCAGCACCTCTGGGCTCAAGTGGCACCCATAAAAGGGGCCCAAGCACTGAGCCATAGAACTGCCACAGCAGGGCAGAGTATTGTCTGAGGGGGTCCAGAGGCACTGTTTGGGACACCCCCACCAAAAAAAAAAGGAAAGAAAAATCCTGGGAAACCAGGAACATAACAAGATTTCCCTAATTTTAGAATTACAGAGAACTAAAAATAAAAGTATGTAACAATGATATTAGATGTGTAACTGTTATGCTTGCCTTGGCAGGGAGGATTGGGGTCCCACTTGAGGGTGTTCAGGAGTTACTGGGGGCATGGTGCCTGGGGGATCAGACAATGCTGTGGAGAGAATACAGGATGCATGCACCCCAATCCCTCGAGCTCAGCCTTTAAAACCAGGAACAGGGGTTGGAGTGATAGTACAGCGGGAAGGGCGTTTGCCTTGCACGCAGCCAACCTGGGTTCGATTCCCAGCATCCCATATGGTCCCCTGAGCACCGCCAGGAGTAATTCCTGAGTGCAAAGCCAGGAGTAACCCCTGTGCATTACTGGGTGTGACCCAAAAAGCAATAAATAAATAAAACCAGGAACAAAAC